TTCGCTCCTTCACTTGCCTCGAACGCTTCACGGGCGGACCATCCTGCTCACCGCTATCCTCCCACTCGAAGGCGTCGTCGAAGGCGCGTAGTGCGACGGCCCACTGGGCTAGCGTGCGATGCGTGCGGCTTCGCTGCTGGACTTGGTGAAGGGCCGAGAAGGCCACCGAGAGCACGGTGGAAGGCAGCAGGTCATCAAAACCCGAAGCCATCGATGGCGCCGTGCAGTCGGGTGGGGCGTGCTGAAGAGGGTGTACGCTAGCAGATGCTGATAGAGCCCAACAGGAGAGGGCGGTGCAGCCGAAGGGCAGCCACATGGGTGTGCTGGGGCGTTGCGTGCTTGTCACAGCGCGTTGTACGCTTGTCCCAGCGCGTTCCCGCCGACAGCAGCTTTTGAATTCAAATCGCGCCGCATGGCACCCCCCCCCAATTATTATCCCAGGATTCCAACCCGATCCGGTTTGGAAAATGGGCCTATTTCCCAACGCGGCGGCCGGGATCCTAGGAAATATTCGGCGATTTGGAATTTGGGCGTTTGGAATCGGGCAAATTCCTCCGCGTAATAATAATAAGACGCTAAAATAATTATTTGGGCTGAGAAAAGGACCCCCCCCCCAATAAAAATCCCGAAATAATCACGACGTAAGACTCGGCCTAACTTGTAGCTGCATGCTCCGCGTCAATATATTTTCGGCGAAAACGATGGCAAAAGCAGTGTAGATTTTTGCCTCCCAACGCAGCGCTCGCCTCTAGCATAGTTTTTCGGGAAATTGACCGATGTATCAGCCTTGCGTCGAGCGTTCCTACGGCTCTAGCAATCGTGAGTGAGTAGAGCACATGGAGAGCGGGTCATTTGTGTTCCGCGAACTCGGCAAGACCGAGGATCTGACACGAGGATTTACAGCAGTAGGTGAGCAAACTGCATGCTGTGTTGTGCGTTGACGTTGATGCCCCGATTATACGTGGGCAGCAGGCATTGTGTGACGTCTGTACCCCATTCAGGTTTCATGTTGTTTTCGCAAGCCAGGCTTTTCAAATTAAGTCAAGCCATCATGCGCTGCGATCTGTTGATGGAGGTGTGGCACCCCTCCGTGTGATTTCGGCCACCCACAAGTCGGCATTGATTAGACGATCGCGCTGTAGGGCGGACAGTCCCGTGGGAGTTCGACCGCTGTTATCCGTAATCCGTAACCGCCCATCTCAACGTTTCTACAACGGTGACAGGCGTTGCTATGTTGCTATCTACAACTTGCCGTGCCGTAGACGCACGGTTGGAGAGTTTTCAGCACCTTCCCCTCCAACGACCAACCGTCGGGGAAAGGGAGAGGTTGTCGCATCTGCTGCTGCTGTGCGCTCTCTTCTCGAGATTTCGCACGCTGAACGGCAATGGCGGCGGTGGTGCCAGTGGAAGCAGCGTCTGCGGTCAGTGGATCTACTTGTCTGCCGGCGTGTAAAGTAGCTCACATGCTACCGAAACATGTTCGCGAGCACGAAAGGCGTATGTATCGAGGTTAACATGTTCGCCAGCACGAAAGGCCTATGTATCGAGGTTGTCTCGTAGAGTCCGAGAGTAACGATCGATCGTGAGTATTGTCCCCACAGGCTTTTTGCAGCCACGGCTCGCTTGTCCCGTCTTTTGTAGGACCTTTGGTTTCGGGCGTCGCTCGTGGAGGTCTTGAGTTTCTTAGCCGTAGATGCTAGCGATACAGACCTCCCACTGCACTTCGTTTGACCTTCCATACCCAGGGCGGTGCGGCTAGTCGTGATGTTCCGACCACTGTGGCCACCCTGGTGCCGCAAGACGACTCCTCACAGGACACAATGCTCCCCAAGGTTGATCTCCCTGATGCGAAAGACACTACCGATGCGGAGAGTAAGAAGATGATGGCCAACACAGTCGCCAAAGCTGACCCCTCCACCGAGAAAAAAGGCGCTAAACCAAAAGAAGAACCTAAGCCTCAGGTTGGTACACACAATGCGCGGCCCGTATGAGTTACGCCCGTCGTTCCAGTGTACTGGTAGGGAGCAAATTCGGTGTTGCCCACAGAATAATTTGCTCCGAACAGCATAGAGTTCAGACACAGGCCTTGCTCTTTCTTCCGTCCTAAGTTTCCACGACTCGATGCAATCCCGACAGGTGCCATTCTCTAAGCTCTTCTCCTTCGCAGACCAGAGGGACATGCTTTTCATGTTCATAGGAACGATTGCAGCGTGCGTCCAAGCCTGGTGAGGAACGCACTTGCGGTCTATATAGAATGCACATGTTTCTTTCGCCTTCACAATAATTTTTCAAAAGCCCGTCCCGCATCACGGCAGCGACACCACCATGAAGAAAAAAAAACTGCCTTGTTGAGCCTGTTACCCACAGGGGAGATATCGTTGTATGCTGTCTGGGAAACCGTAGACATACAGGTAGCCTTCCGCTCACGCTATGGATTCATTGCTAATCTATCTTAGACTTATTTCTATTGATGGAGATGGATTTGTTGTGTGATATTAGGGGGAAAAAAGTTGCCGAGGATCCCTTTAAGGACCAGGACGGTTGCCTGAGGCGAGCTGCGTTGCTACTGGCCTAGAAGTTACAAAAACATTGTCTAGAGCCTGTTTAATCTCCTGTGCCACTTGAACGGCGCGATAGCCCCGACGACGATGTTGCGCCGGTTGCCATGCGTCGATGACCCAAATCGCACCTGCGTGATCGATCGATTCTGGACAGATTTGGAGGGCAAGCCATGCGTGCGTAAACATCGGACAATATGTCGTTCCTCGCTCCTCGCTCCTACGAGGGACATCTCGCGATTCATGGGCTGACTTTGCCGACGCGCTAAGGTTGCCTGAGTTGTCGCTCTCGCCGCCGCCACCGCCGCCGCCGCTCTATGTTTCCGTCGATCCGCTAAGCACAATGCCTCTGTTCATGACCACGTTCGGGGATACGCTCGATGGTCTTGGACAGCCGACTGAGGACGGCGAGGTTGCCTCGGTTGCAGAAGCCGTCCAGAAGTTCGTTGTCCTCTTCGGCGTGATAGGAGCCCTCTCCGGGGTGTCTGGGTTCGCCATGGTCTCTCTCTGGAGCATTGCTGGAGAGTGCCAGGTGGGTAGGCGCGCATGCGTGGGCGTGGCGTTGATTTTGGGAAGTGCAGGGACGTGTCTAAGTCCCCGAGGGGTAGGGGCCGATGGTCTGGTTTTCAATCTGTCAAACTCAAACCACCTTAGGGAGTCAACATGGTGGGAACCAGGAAAAAGATTTGTTGTTCGAGCAGCTAGCGCCCTCTTCGAATTTGCATGTCCGCTCAGTGGTGTCCTTCCAAAGCTTTGGGGCCGGTTGGCTGCGTGTAGGGTTCTCGTCGCAATCATGGTGGACGGGATGGGTTTGAGACTACTGGTATGTAGAAATCACCCACCACATCTGCTGTCGAGACCTCAACGCATGGCATCGTCGTACGTACCTCTTAGGCGCTACGCATGCGCAGGGAATACGTGAAGTGTATCCTGAAGCAGGACATCGGATGGTTCGACGCGCACCCCGCGGGGCAGCTTCCCACGGCCGTCACCGCCAACATGGCAAAGGTGCAGGACGGCTTGGGCAGGAAGATCGGGGATTCTATCCTCAACGGTCTTGGCGGTAAGTGTTGACTGTCCTTGTTATTTTGGCCGCCTACGATCTAGCGCACGAAACACACTTGGTCGATGTGCTCTGTCAATCGATCAACACAAGCAGGGCTGTCAGCATCGTGGGTTTTCGTATGACCTTGCCGAAGGATAAATATATTGACTCTGGCGACCCTTCCGAGCGAGCGAGCTAAAAACCTGCCCCTGTACGCCCTTAGGCCAGGCGAAAACATATGATTCGCATTTCTATTTGGTGGGCCTTCCTCAATCGCAGGTATTGCCTTGCTGATCACGGCGATGGTGGTGAACTGGCAACTCGGATTGATTATGATGGGCTGCGTTCCGTTGATTGGCGCTACCGTGGCGATCGTCACCCAGCTCATGTCAAGTAGCACCCAGGTCTCGTGTTCAACACTGGTGTTGTTGTTGTTGTTGTTGTTGTTGTTGTTGTTGTTGTTGTTGTTGTTGTTGTTGTTGTTGTTGTTGTTGTTGTTGTTGTTGTTGTCGTTGTTGTTGTTGTTGTTGTTGTTGTTGTTGTTGTTGCTATTGTTGTGTTGTTGTTGCTGTTGATGTTGTTGCTGTTGTTGTTATCCTCGTTGTCTTCGATGTCACATTCTTGACGCTGAGAACATTTTTCGGGCCTCTATGCAGTACCTACGCCCAGCCTCCTGTCTCCGATATAACGTGCGTTTCAACGGTATTTCTGGTCTCAGACCGACCTGAAAAAGGCATGAGAACTAACGTCGGCCCTATCGCACATTGATCCCGCTGTCACTCTTGTTGTTCTCCCAGGAGGGCAACAGTCACTACTCAAAAGCCGGTGGCGTGGCCACTGAGGTGTGTGCACAAGTCTTTGCTCATACCTTGTTCACCATGAGAGGGCCATCGAGGCAATATCCAACCACACCCCGTCGATAACATTCAACTGTGTTTGCCTCTCCGCGACTCAAGAGTCGACGGTATGGCTACGAAGCTGTTGTTCTGTTCGCTGACCTTGCATGATGACCTTCACCTGCCCGCCTCTCTGTGTTTGTACTGGATGGAGATTTGAACGCAAAAGCACTTCTCTCGCGCCGGCCCGCACTGGATTCCGTGTGCATGTTTGTCTTGCATGAAAGCAAAGTAATTCTTATCACCAGTACGAATCACGAGCGTTTCCTCGCCTTCTTTTTTCATGTGGATTTCATTGGTACCCCAGCTTTCACATCAACTGTTCTGCTCGGCTTGGGGTTCTTGGATACGAGATTCGATCTGGAGAATACGTGTGTTCGGGGCCTATGCTGTTGGGGGTCCAAGTGCGGGGCCTCTCGAGAGACAACACGCACGCGTGCCTAAGAGTAGTGTTTGTCTTTTTGTGTGTGCTGCGTGCTGGAAGGAGCACGGCGATGTGGTAATCAGGGTTTACGTCGTCAACATCGTTCCTGGTTCTTCAACCTTGTCCCCAGATGCAGCACCCAGTCTCCGCGGGAAGGCGCGGAGGCCCCCTAACATGCCCCAACGCGTTTGAACATTGCGTATACAGGGTTGATTGACATTTACAACAGAAGTGAGCCCGAGCCTGAGAAATGATGTTTATAGAACAAGCCTGTTCTTTGTTGCGCTCTTTCTCTGACGTAGCCCTTAGCCCCCTTGTAATAACTGGTGTTGGTGGGTGCAAAGGACTCTCCAGCAACGATGCAGCCGGCAAAGAACAAATGCTTCTTGCTCAGGTTGCTCCTTTGGTGGATCTCGGTTGCTGTTGGTTGTTCGTTCATAACCTCTAGGAGGCGCCCGTCCCGCCCGTATGTGCTGCAGCCCCTTCTTTGTCGGCGCCCAACGCTTCAACATCTGGATTCTTGGTTCTGGTGTCATCAGGTTCTCAGTAGCCCACTCTCTATCTATTGCTTCAATATCTGGGTTCTATTCTGGCTTGTGGTGTCGCCAGGTCCTCAGCGGCATCCGCACGGTGGCCTCCCTGGGCTCGGAGGAGATTGAGCTCAAGCGCTACTCCACTCACCTGGACGGCGCCTACGCGGCCGGGGTGAAGGAGGGTGTGTCGACGGGCCTCGGCAACGGGGCGTTGTTCATGGCCTTCTACTCGAGCTACGGCCTCGCCTTTTGGTTCGGCACCAAGCAGGCAAGCCTCTTGTCAATGCAGCCGTTGTACGTATCACTATTGTTACTGCGTTGTTGTTGTTGTTGTTGTTGTTGTTGTTGTTCTTGTTGTTGTTCTTGTTGGCATTGTTTCTGCTGAAAATTGCTGACCTGACTCAATTACACCCTCCGGTGTATCGTGGCACCCCCTCACATTCCGCTCCGATCCAACTCAAGACTTGACCACCGCTTTCAAGACAGTCTGCGCTGCTGATGGTCACAGCGCCGGGAAGACTTGCTTGAGAACATTCGAACGATCGCTGGCACTCAGTTTCTTCCTCGCTTGTTGTTTCCGGCCGATGTTGGTTGTGAACAGGTGGCCGACGGCGGCGGCCGTACCGGCGGCGAAGTCCTCTCGTCGATATTTGCCGTTCTTATGGGAGCGATGATGTTGGGCCAAACCGCGCCGGGTATCACCGCCGTAGGAATCGCTCGCGGCGCCGCCGTGGAGGTATTCGAGACCTTGGAGCGCACGCCCCCGATCGACTCGTCTTCGAAGGGCGGACTCAAGCCGGACAAGGTGGAAGGGAAGGTGGTTTTCCACACTGTGGGCTTCAGCTACGTGAGTGGGCCCCTTCACTATGTTTCGACCCTTCTGGGGGTGCTTTAAATTTGCAGTGGGGCCGCGTGGAAATGCGAAGGTGGCTGTATCATCCGCCTCTGTGTTGGTACGATCGCAGGTGCGCTGTGGGACTAGGGTCGGTCGACTCAGCTTAACTGCCGACTCTCTGTGTTATTCTTTTTGCTCTCTGCCTCCGCGTCGACGGCGTGCGGCAGCCGGCTAGGCCGAGCGATGTGGTGTACAACTCCTTCAGCTTAGAGGTAGCCGTCGGCAAGACCCTCGCCCTCGTCGGGCCGTCCGGCGGAGGAAAGTCCACCGTAACTAAGCTGCTGCTGCGTTTCTACGACCCAACCTCGGGTACCGTGACTCTCGACGGCACGGATATCAAGTCCCTCAACGTCGCCTGGTACAGGCAGCAGGTACGGCAGCCGCCGTGAGATCATTTGCCTCAAGAAAACAATCCGGGAAAATTGACGAATCATAAGACTGCGACCACTTTCTCTCGTAGGTACATCCTGAGCTCGACGGTAGTCGACCTTGTTTCGTGCACTCACCTGCTAGTCCGTCGGCACACGTCTCAAACTGGGAACCGTGGCAAGTTTCAGTTCGACGAGGAACCTGGAGGTAGAGCTACCGCTTGGGCTTGTGTAATTAATGCCCATGGCCACGCATCCGAGAAGCAAGTCAGCTTTTACGCAGGCGGCTTATTTCTTAAGTTTGTTGTCGGTGTGTGATTGTCAGATCGGTTACGTCGGGCAAGAGCCGGTGCTATTCGCCGGAACGATCGGGCGCAACATTGCCAACGGCAAGCACGGGTCCGCCACCCAGGGCGAAAGTAAGGAACCGTGTTTGAATAGGTGTTGATTGACATTTCTTTCCACATTTTCCCTCGCGGACCGTCGCTCTAATGGGTCTACCCAACGCATTTACCCTCTCTTCTGTACGAGGGAGATGCCATTCGAGGTAAAAAAGAATACTCCATCCGCTTGGCATCTTTCTACGGTTTGTTTTGCACGAGACGCGTTGACCATTCATTTTTCCCTCGTAAATACCTGGTGAAAGAATGGAACTCTGAGATTTTTCAAACAAGCGCTGAATAACAGTTTTACCCCGGGATGGCGCCCCTCACCTTGCCAATCAAGACACCTCCAAGGCATCCACAGCACGGAAACGATACATTCCGAAAATTTCGCCTGGTCAAAATTGTAGCGTTCTTTATGCTTAACGAACAGTCTTCGTGGCGTCGTAGGGAGGTTTTATTCATTGGTTTGAAGCTATGGTTTGTTTCGTCCGGTCATTATGGGCTGAAGCACGCCGAAGTTCAATGCATTACACACTTACCTCTCTATTGATATCTACAGCATTCAAGGTCTCTGTGACACGTCGCCCGAAGCAATTCCAAGAAGTCAAGAACGTTCTACCACCGTAGGAGGTTTACCTCGAACACTTATCCCATCCATCATCACGTCACCTCGCCTAATCACACCATGTTTCGCTGTCGACATGAACACCGTCACTGCCAAACTGATACTTCCTTCGTGTGCCGTCTTTCCGATCGTTCTGCGCCGCTGTCGTTGTTTCCATCGAAAACCGCCCCAAACTTTGCAGTTGTTGCGGCCGCAAAGGCTGCGAACGCGCACGACTTCATCGAGGTAGGGCGCGATCGTTGATTTTTGCTGTCAAGATCAACTATTTATATAGTGCAATTGGGGCATTCTATTGCGAACAAGCAATTACGACACTGTCAACGCAGGGAACAACATTGCGAAGGACAGAAAGAATGGCTTCCAGCCTACCTTTCGCGGTCAAGTCAACTGTGACATCTCGAACAACACGCAGAGTATCATCAAGCGTCCTGCATTGGGTATCGTTTGTAACCCAGCGATTGGGCGTGCACCACGTGCCTGTATCTGATGCCGCGCGTCCGTGTGCTGCAGAGCTTTCCCGACGGATATAACACTGGGGTGGGCGAGGGAGGGTTCCAGCTCTCCGGAGGCCAGAAGCAGGTATTTTTGGTAGTGGAACGACCGCTTGCCTTGACGCACCTATCATTCCGGCATGATGATGCAGGGAGGCTTTACCTCTTCGTCGGGAGAAGAATGGTCCGTCAAGACGCTAATAAACTGGGAATGAGCAACTCTGACATGAGCCCTTAGCTACACCTACCAGCACAACACAATGCCGGGCTTCAAACAGTCATTTCCAGCATTGTTACATCCCTTGTTTCTTAGTGCTGTGTTGGCGACTTTGTCTCGGTCTGTAGAACGCGTGCTTTGGCTCCTTCTAACCGAGATAACCGATTCTTCGTGCTGTGCTGTGAAATTTCTGTCCAGCGCATTGCAATTGCCCGTGCGATCATCAAGGACCCGGCCATCTTGCTCCTCGACGAGGCTACGTCCGCGCTCGACTCGGAGAGCGAAAAGGTTAGCTGTATTAGTTGCGGTTGATGCTGTCGTTAAGTGTTGTTGTTGTTGTTGTTGTTGTTGTTGTTGTTGTTGTTGTTGTTGTTGTTGTTGTTGTTGTTGTTGTTGTTGTTGTTGTTGCTGTTGTTGTTTCTGTTGTTTTCGTAACGATGCACCGTCAAACGTGAGATGGCAAGGTCACCCTTGTCCAGTCTAACACGCAGGATCGAACGGGTACCGAAAACCGACTTCTTGGCATCCACCAGCTTGTCGAATCTGCTCCCAAGGTAAAACAACTAGCACGGCCAGGTACCGTCCAAGCTGAAACACAGCAGCAGGTATCGGTTGCCGATGTCCAGTTTACAGTCAGCTTTGGACGGAGCCCGTGTGGAAACTATGCCCATCCACAACTCGACGTGTACTAGGTGGTACAAGCCGCCCTGGACCAGCTCCACAAGGACAAGCCGCGCACGACCGTGACCATCGCGCACCGTCTATCCACCATCCAAGGCGCCGACAAGATCGCCGTCATCGACAAGGGCGTCGTCGAGCTGGGAACACACTCCGAGCTCCTGGCCCTCAACGGCGTCTACCACACGCTCTGCTCCAGCCAGGTGAACTAACTACAGTTGTGGAAAATTAACAAACGCGATGTGTGCCCCTTCCCGTGTTGCCGACAAGACTCTGCAGAGTGTCAAGGCCCATCCTTAACTCGCCATCCTTCGACAGGATCCAGGAGAGCGAAAGAATGTCGTTTAGTGTGGACCCTGTTTACCCATGTGCCTTAAAGGGTGCTACGACGTGTCGGATGATTCCAGGAACACCTTTCCTCTCCACCTGTCAACCTGATGGAACTTCCTCGAACATGTATTTTTCCTCCAGACCGGCGGCACGACGGAGGGGCTCGCTGACGGCGACAATGCCATGGAACTCAGAAGCTCGAGTAAGTGTCCCGCGTCGTGTCGTCGTTGGTGGGTGACTGTGGAGCCTTTAGTAGAAGACCTCTGCTTGGATTGACTTTTTTGTCTGCGGGGTGCCCGTGACCATCACTCTCACTCCCCGGCTGAACCGGGTTTCACCATTTCCCATCTTGTCGGCAACTAGCACAAGAAACGTTTCTGACAAACGCCACAACCTCTCTCGGGAATGAGCGACAGAACGCTGATGTTGCTAGAGAGGCATACCTGCACCTTCTTCAACATTTTGACGTGCTCAATTTGAACTGATCTATCTCGGATATTCACAATGACTTATGCGGTCGGGGTGAGCAGATGAAAACAAGACGAGCGACTCTGGCACGGGCGATGTCAAATCAGGGAGCCCCAAGGGCGCCACCCCCGGAGGCGCTCCGATGGGCGGCTCTTCCGGAGCGGACAAGCAGAAGAGCAAAGAGGAGCAGGAAGAGAAGCTTCCCGCGGTCCCTAGGTGTGTGCGAAAAACTACCTAGCTCACGGCTCCCGCTACTGACTTCCGTCGACGTTAAGACCCCGACGCCAATACCACATATACAAGTGTTATTAACTGTGGTTCTATCTTTGCTGCCCTTCTTGTGTCTCGGCGGCAACCTTTTCGCAGTGGTCGAATGTGGGCGTTGAACAAGGGAGACTGGCCGTGGTTGCTCATGGGATTCATAGGCGCGGTGGTGGCGGGAGGCTGTGCCCCCAGCGAGGGAGTGTTCCTCGCGCAAGGGCAGGTGACACCAATGGGCAGATGGGAAGAGAGAGATAACCGATAGATGCTGATGCTCCGTCGCCTTGTCCGGATGCATACAGTTGCGAAAACATGAACCTGGAACAGTCGATAGGACATCTTCACGTCGCAGAGGATTTAGGTGGAAGAAGCGGAGGTGTACTTGTACGGCGTTTGCAGAAGTTGCGGCATAACCTTCTAGCTGCTTTCTTTGCAGTGGTACAACGATTCATGCTTTGGTGCCTCCTCCATCGTTTGTGATAGCCCCAACAGCCCGCTTATAAGTGGCTGCGCTGATCGGCCCGGTGGTTTGCATGACCTCGCAATTTTCCGGCTTGTGGGGATGTGAGAGTTCATCTATGCGCATCCACATGCCCTGACGTCTTCTTCTCATATAATGCCCTAACACGTGTAGCGTGTACACAACGTTGGACTTCAAGATCGACGAGAAAGAGGAACATATGAATCTTTCTCGTGACCAAAGAAGAGGCAAAAAAAAAAACGCACAAAGTTGGAGAGAGAAATAGGCTCCTGTGCTACTTATCCTCCTGTGTAACCCGAGCTGGTGTGTCCAGACCCAATGCCGAAACAAAAGTGTAACCATCGACGTCCCGACAAATTTGGATGGCAACCAAATATCGCTTGTTGAGGGCAGTATTGTCTATTGACCAGCACGTACTGTCCTCTACAACTATCATGACCTCAACGATAACTGACATACCGTTTCACATAGCGGGTGCACTGTACCCATCCCTTTGTCCCACAACGTCTTCCTCATTTCAACTAGAGCAACCTGTACCTGGAAGACACGGAACAAATGCGCAAGATCGGCAACCGTTGGGCGCTCGGGTTCGTGGGGCTCGGATTCCTCAACCTAGTGGGAAACATGGCCTTGTCAACTGGATTCACCGTGTCAGGCGAACGATTGACGAGGACTCTGCGATACATGGCGTTCGAGGCTATGGTAAGGCTGACACCTCTCAAGTCATTGCTGTTCGGGAGCTTCTGACTGGTGACGGGTGTTCTTGTCATATGCGCTCCTGGGATGCTGTCGATCTGGTACCCATGCCAATTGCATGTATGAACCCTGTGTAGGTTGGTGCAAACAGCTCGCACCCCGTTAATGCTGCTGCTCTTGTTTGATTCGAGGAGGCTAAATACCCCTTTGACCACGATGATACAGTGTAGGCTCAAATTATCAAACCCTAAGACGACACAGGCAGTGGACTGAAGCTCAATAAAATCTAGCAAAAAACCTTGAGGCGGTCTATAAGGATACTGGCCCGTGAAAAACTAACACAAGAAGATCACGGGTTTGATTCCCGACAAACATGAATCATCGCACTTCTCCGAATGAGATAATTCGGGAATTCGCCATGCACGCAGACTAAGCATCAAACCTCCGCATCACATAAACTGGGAATTGAGCAGAAGACTCGCCTGCTTGATGTACGATTAGCGGAGCATGGCAAGGGGGGGCTGCATCGGGAATCGACCACCTCACACCTCTTTCTTTCGCTGGGTTGAAGGAGCAAGTCCGTTGACAATTCTTGGTCGGCGGTGACTGAGAGCGGTCGAAGGGATTAACCCCTTGGAACCGAACGCTGTGTCAGTATCCAGAACGGGAGTTCCCGAGAGAGAATCACGAGAGCACTGTCGTCGAGCCGCGTTTTCGCTACGAGAGAGCTTGAGTGTTCGCACTTCTATCATTCATGCCCAATCTGAAGCGTTGTAGTATTTAGAGGACAGGTGCCTTGGAACGAACCATCGTACAAGAGCTTGGGAACATGCATGAGTGGGTCCCACTGGGTAGAGTAGAAGAGGTTTACATAAGTTTGTCCTAATCGCTTTCTCAACCCGTCACATAATCGATATTGGTTTAAATTCCAATCGCAACCCGTCACAAGAGATGTGATCGGAACAGATTCTCCGATTTCGGAAAACGCTTGATCATGCACCTACGTTTGACGGCTTCCCCCGAACTTCTGCCTTCAATATTCATCCCGACCATTGTTTCGCTCGGAAAACATGAAACCGTTCCTCACGTTGTGTCTCGTTCGCGATTCTAACCCATAAAAGTGCGGCAAGCGAGGCTAGCGTCTCACCACCCACGGGATGTTCTCTTTGGCCCTTCCCCTCCGCCCTACCTGCTTTACTAGGTGCGGCATGACATCGCGTGGTTTGATGAAGAATCATCTGCAGTGGGTGTCCTTACAACCCGCCTAGAGGCAGAGGCATCTATGGTGAGCCGTTGCAGTCGTCTTCGTTGCCATTATTGTTGTTGTCGTGTTTGATGCCTTCGCCGTGGTTGCTGTTGTTGTTGTTGTTGTTGTTTAATGTTGTTGTTGTTGGTTATGTTGTTATTGTTTTGCTAATGTTGCCGTTGCTGTCGCGTAGCGCTAACAATTATTTCGGCCACCGAGTCTGCCGAGAAAGTTCTTGCTGTCGCCATGACTGACCATGTTGAGTACGGGAGTAACTCAATGCAATTTCTCAAGGTCGAGAACAGTTGTAGCACAGTCCTTAGATCGAGGTTTGCGGGTGAATACGTGGGGCCGTCGGCGTTCGAATCTGCTGAGACAATCTCGGGGCCAAACTGGTTATGTCCTTCCCTCGTATTAAATTTCAAATGTTCGACTAGGTTCGAAAAGCGACTGGAGGAAACGTTGCCCACGCGACCCAACTGATGATGACCCTTACGGTGGGAACACTAATCGGGCTTGTCTTCGCATGGCAGATCGGTAAGACATTGACTACCATGTGGTGTCGTGTTTCGAGGGATCGTTTTCTTGCGTACTATTAGCTTTGGAAAAAGACTGGGCATCCTTACACCACCTTGCCATGTTTCCTCAGAACCCTCATGCAGACCCTGATGGTTGATGGTTGCTATTTCTTTGACCAGGTTTGCTCGCCATTGCGACAATTCCCCTAATAGCGGTCGCCGGGATTGTTCAGATGGCAATGATGACGGGGGAATACGGCGACAACGACGTGAGGATTCGTTGTTTTGGCGGCAGCGGCAGCACACCGTGATATTTTGTGCCACACCCCTAGCGAGCAGTTCGTGTTCCCAATCGAGACACAATGTCCACACGTTCCGATTGGTGACCAGATTTACTTGAAAGGATGCCACATTGTGCTCACGTTAGACGCAGAAGAGGAAGCGTGGGCCTGGTTGGTCTGTTCGTTGACTGAGCAGACCGGTGATTAGTCCCCGGGTTGATGCTACCGTTTTTCTAGGGTCTCGACGGCGGCGGCAATGCGGCGGGTCTGCTGAGCTCTGCCCTGCAGGGAATGAGCACCGTAACCGCGTTCAACATGCAGGAGAGGCTCGCCGCCGATTACAAGCAAGCCTCGGAGGTACTGAAAATTGAGAGCCGTCGGTAAAATAATTCAAGGGATACTAAGCATTACGTCTACTCCCTACTTGGGGAACACGGCCATTTATGGTGAGCTTGCTTCAAGCACAACCGAGAGCAGGAAAAGATGCGCAACCCGCCCACCACGCTCGCCGTTTGGATTCGCAACCGTACGAGGGGTGACGGCTTGTCCTTTGAAGAATATTGGTATGCCGGTCGTGGAGAGATGTACACGGTAGTCGGAGCAGCCTGGGTGATGGGCAACACAAAACGTGTCAAAAATGGTTGAACAGTGGTGTAGTCTCGCGGGACGGTATGGCCTGTATCTGCACAATGTTCCCGCTCTTACACCATCTGCTTCGTGCTTTTCGGTGTGGCTCTCTTGCTTCTCTTCCGACAGATCGAAAAGGCCGTGACTAAGCACCGTTTGCTGAATGCTAGGACGACTTCACGTACCTCTAACCCGCACGCCTTCGCTGTTGGTTTTTTTCTGTCACTGTGATGACGGTCGTGTGTCTTCCTTCGATCATGTTTGGCTTGCCGCTGACCCGAGCGCTTTCACTGCGGGTTTCTCTGCTGATGTTGTGGCGGGGGTGGTGGCGCGGGTGTGTCTCATTTCAATCATGCGCGGTGATAGTATCTCCTTTCGATCATGTTTGGCTTGCTGCCTTCAGGGCTCCCTCGATGCTCGACGAAAGCGCGGCTTGATCGCTGGAGCGGCTTTCGGCTACAGCCAGGGCATCACCTTCTGGGTGTTCGCGCTCATGTTTTACGCCGGGGCGATCATGGTCGACAACGGTCAGGTCGAGTACGGAGATTTCTTCACAGCCATGTTCGCGGTCATCTTCGGAGCCTTCGGGGTAGGACAGGTACGATTGGTGGCCCCGCCCACCTTCCGCCACAGGAGAAAGAATCACACGAGGTTTAGGGTCTGTGAGGCCAACAGGATATCTGCAACTGTCTTGTCCTGAAGGTTGCATCTAGACGCCGACCAGCTCCATGTTGTTTCCGCCAAGACCTGTAGTTCTCGGTGTTTGTTCTCTGAATATTCGGCGCTACAGAAACGAGGTTGCCACTTCGTGTAACTCTCGGCGATGTCGATTCGAAGGTGGCCTATGTCTCTCTCCCGGGGTCCGACACAGTATCGACCCGTTGATATTATGTTTGATCCACCAAAGTCACGCCGAGTGCTACACCGACTCCTTCATTTGAGGAGTGTTGCTCGACGTTCGACCGACACAAAATTGCCAGGCTGACCTTGCTTGGTGTTTGTTCAAGAGTACACAGCTACTAGCGCGTTAGCATTGACCTTCAATCACCTTGCGAATGGCTCCATCAGTAAGAACTATATCGCTGGTTGACAGCACTTACCGCCACGATAGCGCGATGGTCGTCCTGTAAGGACAGGAAAGGCGACTTTCTCGGCATTTTCTCGAAGTCTATTGACTCACGTCGTTGCCGAGTCGAGAAGGCTAAGCATCGCTAAACATTTGTTTACAGATTAGCGGGGACTTCAAGGACGCTGGGAAAGGCCAACAGGCAGCTTCTAAGATCTTCCGTCTCACAGGTGGAGAAATGTTCTGTGATGTTCTACTTATGTCCTTGTGCTGTCGCCGCCCGCAGCTCGTACGACCTACCTTTTCGACTCATCTATTAGCACTGAACAATACTACTGTCGTATTGTTTTTGTTGTGTATTTTTTCACTGCTATACCATAGGTCTGTCGACCGGAGCTTGAACTTGGAGTGGTGTACTGGGAGGCTGCTGACACCGCGAAATAATGCTAGCTCCCGTCAACTTGAAGGATACTCGTGGGCTGAAAGTGTTTTCCAATGTTATCAATAGCTCTCCCCTTCGAATTCAGAGCTTATATCCACATCACGCTGATGATGAAAAAATGGACGGTATCCCCAAACATGGAACCGAAGTGGCAGGTGTTGACCGGGCGATGCTCTACTGCTTCCTAAATTCTTATCCCCATCTGTTTGGAATGTTTTTTGTGTGTGTTCTCGATTTCGCACCATCCGAACGATACATCAGATGAGCCTCTGAATATCGACCCGCTTTCCGAGAAGGGGGCTAGACCCTCACCAACCAAGGGCGCCCTCGAGTTCAAAAACATCTTCTTCAACTACCCTTCTAGGCCCAACATGCAGGTGGGTTGGGGAGTCATGCTACGGTATAGGAGGTCACCTCACGTTACACTTTCGGGTAGAGGGCGACGAGCACTCTATACCTGTTGGCGGCGTCCTATTTCGCCGAACGATCACCGGAACAGGACTCCACGTTATCTCCCTGAAGTGGAAGATTTCACCCCAAAAGTGCACCCCCCTACCATAACATCGACTTGGGGGTACTTTGCTTGTTGATTCCTTCTTTTTCGTTCCGTGGCAGTAATACTTTCAGTACTCTATGTCGTACACCTTCGATACTTCTCATTATTGCCCTCGCACATATTTCCATCGTATGGCCAGTCTGGGCTCCGAAAACATCTTCGTGAGCCCTTCTCGAAGATTGCCTACTTGGTGTTAGCTTAGTGAACTACGTCCTGAATGCTTGCACCATAGCAAGTCGCTTTCGCAAATGTTTTCCCCAAGTCATAAGGGATTCCTCACATTCCTAGGGTTTTCCACCCTGACCGCATTCGGGTCGCCTGGCAAGCCTGAAGTTCCATGCATACTCTGCATGGTACTCAGCTACCTTCTTTGCTTTCGAACGCGCTTGTTGGCTAATACATACGTCTAGCGTGTCACTGGATTCACCTTCAGCTGTAGGACAGATAGTGTGGGGGCCGAGAGTAAACGAATACAAACGTGTGGTGCGCCGAAGATGTGCCCGCCTGTTGGATGGTGCTCTGCAGCACACTGGTTCTCAACACATGTCGCTCCGTTGTCACGAATGGTTTACGTTGTCCCACGACGACGCTTCGAATCTCACCCACGTTGAGATCGTTCATGGCCCGAACACCATCACAATCTTGCTCGGAGTACGTTCAGAAGCCAAAATACAGTCGCACCGATGAACACTGCAACAAGCCGACGTCTCGTAAAATTCCTGCGGTCGCCAGATCTACGGATCGGACAAGTACCCCCAAGGGTTCTGCTTGAACGTCGCGGCGGGCGAGACTGTGGCGCTCGTGGGACCCTCCGGAGGGGGCAAGTCCACCTGCATGGGGCTATTACTGAGGTTTTATGAGCCTTCTAAGGGAAGCCTGACCATCGATGGCCGCGACATCACGGAAGTCAACGTCAAGTGGCTCCGCTCGCAGGTGCCGACAGCAGCATGCCATGCCTCCCTTGCGTTGTTGGCGTGTAGATCCAAGTACACACTCGAGTTATGTTGCGGGATGCAACAAATGCGTTGCTTGCCTTCGAAATGGTGAAACTGGCATTGGTAATATTAGGCTGCATTGGTCGTAGCGCACGTAGATACCACACGAGGAATGATATCAGTACGGGATCGGAGAAAAATCAGAATTTTCCAGGAAGGATGGGATGCTCTGGACAAGAGTATCTCTGTTCGATTCTCGTCATTGCGACGCGGAGGAGGTGGACATTGTTGCACGATCTGTGCTTATCACTCAGGACGCCCCGTTTTTTTTGATAAAAGGCGCGTAACGTCGACATACTGACACTTATTCTATGAAGCGCTCTTCTCTACGAAGAATGGCGAATTTCAGTTTGATGTTGTTGAGAGGGTCGGCTATTTCTATCGGTCCACTCCTCAGTGCATAATTGTTTCCCCCTCCCGACTGTCTGTGTGATGGCGATACTCTTGTTGCTTCTTGCAACTTCCAGGGATTCCCAGTGCTCGATTGCCGTGAAGCGAAGAGTGTCCACTATCGGAGGTTTTGATTGCTTGAATTTCGTGTCGGTTTCTGTTGCAACGCGAACCGCAAAAAGATCGGCTACGTGGGTCAGGAGCCGGTGCTGTTCCAGGGAACAATCCGCGAAAACATCGCCAAGGGGGACCCCAGCGCAAGCGATGAGAGAATTCAGGAGGCCGCGAAGACCGCCAACGCCCATGACTTCATCCAACGCGACTTCCAGGTCAGTCGAAAGGCCCAGACACCGACTTTGCGACGCCAAACGGACCGGATTATAAAGGAGGGTAACCCTGGAGAAGAGGTTAGGGGCGATCAATCTGAATATGAGGGAGCTCCTGCTGTTCTAGACCCAAGGTAATCTATGTTAGTTGCAAATTTTGTCTTCTACAACCACGTTGCCTCGAGTTATCTACTGTCTTCCTCATCCTGTACGCATTGGACTCAACGAGTGTTGGAGAGTGCTCTCGCAAGCGGACTGTCAACGTTGCGAAATCGAAACGAAGAGGGAGTCATGGGTGGTACCACTAACGTGTGCGAGACCGAAGAGGAGAGGCGATTCTCTCAAAACCTTACGACTCTTAGACTAGTTTGGAATCAAATATGTATGAAGGGGTGCTCGCTCGCAGAATGTGAACGTTGTTTTTCTCCGACGTTACCTCCAGGGAGGGTATGAGGCTGAAGTGGGAGAGAAGAGCGCTCTGTTGTCCGGCGGCCAGAAGCAGGTGAGAGCATTGAGGGGCAGTTAAGACTCGCGAAATATACGCTGTGTGTTGTATGAAATTCCTAACTCCAGCCAGTGCTACGCACCACAGCAGTCGCCTTGTTCGTCGGTGGCACTCCTTCAGTAAGCTAAGGCGAGCACTTCAAAAAGGAGCACTCGTGTGCATACGTGAAGGATCAAAGGCAACGTGCCAATATTTTGAATGGCGAAACACACTGACTGGCAGCTTCACGAAGCGAATGCGCACGAAAGCTTTCCGATGTCATAGACTATGGGTACGTCCGCGAAGATGAAAGATCGATGATGTTGCCAAGGAACGACTTTGCACATGCATGATTTGCGATACCACACGCGCACGAACATTGGAAGATCGACTACTTTCGACTGTCACCAAGGAAACGACTGTATGTACTGCGCTGTGCATACGCGTCGTTGCTGCTCCGTGAACGACGTGCTGACGATTGTGTTGGTTTACTCGCGTCCAGAGAATCGCCATTGCCAGGGCCATCCTACGGAACCCGCCGATTCTGCTCCTCGACGAGGCTACGTCGGCGCTCGACAACGAGAGCGAGAAAGTGGTAAGCTTGAATCAACTTTCTTTGTCAGCAGCAACCAAACAAACCGGATTCGGCACTGCTGCTGGCGATACCGGATATCGCATGAAACACGTGCCGTCAGTGTTCTTCCACCATCATTATCCGAATTTTCTACTTTTGCCGTGTTGGGAACGTCGATTTGTTTCTCACTCCCGCCTAGGTGCAAGAGGCCCTTGACCAGCTGCAGGCGAAGCAGAAGCGCACGACCCTTACCGTGGCGCACCGCCTGACCACGATTCGCAACTCCGATAAGATCGCCGTGCTCAACGGCGGGGGCGTGCAGGAGCTCGGCACACACGACGAGCTGCTGGCCCTCAAGGGCTTGTACTCCATGTAAGTTAGCGTTTCATGACGAGATTGTTGCTGCTGCAGCGGTTGTTCGTATCGTGGCCGTTTTTTACGTGTACACTCGTTGGCTGTGGCTTATCGGCTAGACTACAATGAAAAATCCGGGGACAGCTTCACATGATAACACCGCGAGCATTATTGACACACCCTTCCGAACGAGAGAAGAAAAACGTTTTCTGCGCCGGTTTAGCATCCGCTTTCTCGACAGAAGCAACACTCTGTTTCTCCACAGACAGAATCTCACCTAAAAAAGGGCCCCTGACTCCCTATCCACACGATACTCGCAGCGAAAAGTTTCTCCTTCCCTCTCCAAATCTCCGTCCTTCCTGTGATTGTGTCCCTTTCCCCGTTTGCAAAAAACATTTCAATTCGCCACGTTGGATTGCTAGGTTGTGGAACCAGCAGACGAGTAAGCCGGCCGGCGGTGGAGCATGAGCCACCCGAACATGGACGCGTTTACCAGAAACTCAGGTTGTAGCATGAGCAGACGAGCATAAGGATGGGTGGCGAAGCACCGGCCACCCGGGGTCCACGCAGAAACCGCAATATGTCTACAGTAGTCTATGGTCTCCCTTCGCAACGAAAGCTTGACGACAAAAAACTCACGATGTGCATTCAGCGCATCAAAGAAGTGTTGCTGTAGGTATGTATGCATAACCCGGAATAGAAGCGTTGATTGTTGTTGTCGTCGACCGAACATTTCTTTGTTCTGGAAAGGGAGCACCAACATAGTCTAGGCCGATGCACATGCGACCATTGCACCGCCTCCGAAGAGTGTTGGTTCGTTTTTCTGGGGTCCCCGAGAAGTGGATGCCATTGGTGCTCTCCTTTGGGCACCCCCTCGCTCATGCCACAAGAGTGTTGCAGATGAGTGCCGCTTTGCATCATGTCCAAACGTGTGGGGAGCACTTACGTAGAAAAGAACGTAGCACCTGCTGGAAAGTTACGCGGAACAGCGATGTAGTAAGAGTGTCGGAGCTAGTCCATGGCTAGTTCAGCGAAAACTGGTTCGTTTTTCTCCCGCCCAGCCATTGTTTCATGCGGTGCCCACGCCCTCACAAGAAATGTTGTCAATTCGCAGGGCTCAATATTATTTTTTCTTTCGAATTGTCTGATTGTTTTCTGTGCATATGGAGGGAGTTTCTACACGAACAACAATTACGTTCCACGCGGAACAAGTCTTGGAGGTCTTCGCGGTATGCTACCGTGTCAGTGATACCTAAACACAATGCCCCCCTCCTACACATATTTCCACCAGATAAGGCAGAGTGAAACTGTTGAATTAGCAGTCTCGGACGATAGACCCTCCCAAAGGCAAACACCTTTACCAGAAACACCAAATCCGAGGCCCTTTCGATACGTGAAAAAATCTGTTTCGTAAAACAACATTAACCCGTGACATGGTGGTCTGACGTCATGGGACTTGTTCGAAACAACTTGGACCCGCGAAATGGTAGTCTGACGTCATAGGAGTCGTTTGAGCGTTTGCCGAACATGCACATTTCATGGGCATCGTTGTTCGTTGCACTTTTCTGCCCCTTCAGTTTCCGGGCTCCCAGAGCCACTTGCCTCGATGCCAGGGCTCTCAAGCCATGTGTTATTCTCTCTGAGAAAGAGGAAAGACTCACCGCAGCCTCATTAAGCGGTTCTGCCACACCTATGCCGAGCTTTGCCAAGATAATCGACAATACAGCGCGATTGTACGGATGTGTCCCGGCGAAGCCGCCTAGGAAATGGGTGGAAAAATTCAACACACCTGTAGTTGTTTGCGAAAAAACAAGTTGTCTATACGAAAGGTACATAGCACTTTTGCCTTTCAACTGTGACAGACCCCACATCCGCCTCAAGCAAGAAGTGGCCTGAACAGGCTAGACATGATGAAGATGGGTAGTGGGAAAAGTTGTGGGGCACCTTTGGCAAAGTAGGAAGGTTTGGTGGTCGGTCCTGTTTGAACAGTTGTTCGTCCTCTCGACGGCGTGTGGTCAATGGGTCAACAGCTAGGGCATGCATTCATGAGTACCTTACCCTCCGCCCACCCCCGTCCCAGACAACCGCGAAATATTTCACCCGTCAAGGACGCGAACATATCCCATCGGCTGTCTACAACGCCTTCCAAAATCCCTTACCCCGACGCTGTGTATCAAGCAAGCAAGGACTGACGGTGACCGCACAAATTCGTGAGAAAGGAGGTAGCTCATCCTCCACTAAAAAATGCAAATACTGAACAATGTCCGAAAGAGCTCCATCCAGCTCGGATCGAGACATGCTCCAGACAGAGAGCACGCAAGAGAGCGAACGGCACACTGAAACCAGCATCAAATATCGTAAACAATACAATGATGTCTACCATGGTAGCCCCCCCCCAACAACTGCAGGTCCAGCAGGCATTTCACGAACGGTTTTGCTTGACATAGGTCCCTCGGATGTCGAGTTGGTTCCAAACATTTTTCTGCAATGAAGACAGGAAGGATCATTCAGAGAACCGTTCTACAACACCGGATATTCGAGTGAAACACTCTTATTCAAAAACGGGAAAGATTCTGCGGTTCCACGCAGATAGCAGACAAAACATGCCTAACAGCCACGTAAAAAGCGTGCAACAGATTCGGCAAAATTGTACAACAATTGAAGAGCAAAACACCACGACCTGAACCACTACACCTCATCCGAGTGGACATCGCCGCCCACATGTTCCAAATACTCCTACCGCTACAGAAAAAAATAAAAGAAACGAAGAAGATGTCTTGGTGGCAAGCTTCGTGCCGTTAGATTCTACGAATGGAAGAACTCATCGCTCTAGACTAAATTGGTCCGAGAACATCCCAAATAACACGAAACACGCGGCCCCGATAATCCGGTCATCTTGGCGATCCATCTAGATCTCGGAACCGCCTCTTTGAAACTCATATCATGGCCACACGTTGGCCACCTATTCGCAGACCACCTCCGTTCCTTAGACCTAATGGTCTAGACCGTGATTATGTCGGTTCAGGTCATTTAGGCTCGGAATCGCCGCTTCGAAATCGATATCATGGTCCCACCCACACCCCGACCACCTTAACCCGCAGACCTATTGTAACAGTCTAGACCATGATCGCCTCGACTCAGGTCATCTAGGCTCACCCCCGGGCCACAGGGGACCATCGCCCTTCGCAAAATACGGGTCGTTGAGGTTGGCCCGGGTCAACGTTCGCGGCGGCAGGCCCTTGGACGTCTTTTCCAAAAAAAAAATCGCGCACAAAAGCATACGGGAATACGGGAATACCGGTTATCCCAACGACGCGTCCACAAAATGAAACAGGCCACGCACAACATTTACAGAGAGCGTCCACAAAATGTTCGTCAAAGGCATCCACAATGCGTTCGTCAGCGACATCCATGGTGTTGGCCGTCATAGACATCCATGATGTTGGCCGTCGTGGACATCAATGATGATTTCGTCAGAGACGCCGCAACACAGACAGGACATGTGCAGAATGAAACCGTCATGTCCACCGCATCCGACGTACAACGGCACGTCGGAGCGGTCGGACGTTGTAGACCGTTGGGGGTGAAAGCCGTTTACGACCCCCGAACGGTGGGCCGGGCGCAAGAGACGGGGGGCGGGGGCGGGGCGTACACGGAGAGACGGGATCTCTGTTCAGACCACAAAAAGTGGAATAATAGGTGAAGAGGTAAACCGTTCGGGGTACATTTACATTTACACAGGCAACCAAGATCCAAGAATCAAAATCGACAATATCAACAAAAAAGTAATAGACTCTGTTGACCGGGGTATGAAAAACACAAGATTGCCCTTGATAATCAATCAATTGTTCATTTTTGAAACGAACAAATACAGAGTAAAAGTATTCACGAGTCTTCCAAGTACTACTTCGTAAGCGCAGGAAACAAAACTAACGTATGCAGTTTCTTCGCTTACCGGGTTACTCCATGTCAAGAGTTCCGCAAAGGGCATGGCCTTGTGGACGCGGTAGATAGCCTCTGCCAACAGAGGAGCGACGCTGAGCTCTCTGATCTTGCTGCAGCTAGAGCGGTCTTTGATCTCTCCGGTCTCAGTTCTGGGCGGCGGGTGAGCCGGTGGGGGAGGGGGGGACGCAGATGGAAGAGGAGGGGGGGGGTCGGAATGTGCTTCACGAACATCACACGGGTTGCAAGTGAGCGTGTCGGGGGTGTTTGGACCAAAAACAGTGTGTGTGTGTGTGTGTGTGTGTGTGTGTGTGTTTTCGTCCTATTTATTATGGCGACAGTCTCCCCATTTTTCGTAGTGAGACGTGTACTACACTTTTCAGCGTATGACTACACTTTTCAGTGTGTTTTTTCGTACAACTGTGCAACCATCCAGGGTCACACAGGAGGGGGTAAACACCAGGGCCCCTTCTTCTTTTTGTTTCTTTTCATGCCCCACCTTCCTCCTGCGGTGCGTGCTGAACATTTTTTTTATCGCGAGAAGGGTCCAGCCGTCCCTTTCCCTCGTCAACGGTGCTAACGTCGAAGTTTGGTACTCACGAGAGCTTTTTAGCTATGTTTCGCTTTCACCCGCAAATTTCGTAAATTTTCCACCCCATGGGGATTCGAACTCACGACCTCTGCGACTAGCGTGCATCCGTTGGAAGTACTTGTAATTCGGTAAACCTGCGCTTGTTGAAAAGAGCAGCGCTTTGCCGTGAGGCGTGTGTGCTTGGAAACGCTGAAAGATGAACAAATCTCGTTGCAACACAAGCACGGGTTATGTCTTCAGCAGCGGCTTGAAGGACGCCCACTGACTGTGTCGGGGAATGCACAAGCTTACTGAGAAGAATCACCCTTTGCAAGGCGCATTTTCGCACACCCATCAATGGAGCAGAAAACAGAGACCGAAAATAATAACTGGACCTTCATATCGAGCAAATGCAAACTCGGGACACAGACTCGACCGTATTGCGAACGCACTGATGTAGACCGAGATAATGTTGGGTGCAGCACGGCTTGACTGTGGCCGATGAAAGC